TCTCTCTCCTCCTCCTCTCTCTCTCCTCTCCTCTCTCTCTCTCTCTCTCTCTCTCCTCCTCTCTCTCTCTCTCTCCTCCTCTCTCTCTCTCTCTCTCCTCCCTCCTCTCTCTCTCTCAGTGTGAGGATACAGCCTATGAAAATCTCTCTACCCAAGACATGAACACCACAGACAAAGACTGGAGTTGAACACCTCCATTTTATTCCCTTCCTAATCTAAGGTACATTTAAAGTCCCTGCCTACTGTCAGTTCTACCATCTTCCAGTGTCTTCTCTCTCTCTACTACAACTTAACTACTTCTAGTAACTAGTTTTTCATACAATTATATGTAACTTATGTTGTATGGTATGTTCTATGTTAGTATATATGGTAAGTATATATTATGCAATTTAACTCACTAATTAAAAAGCAATTTTATGTAAAAGTGTTCCTACTATTTCACATTGTAACTAGATTTTACTTTCAGCACAGTATATCTTTTAACAGTTGAATCTACATTGCATTAAACCATATACACAGTAATTAAATAAACTAGTCCTGTCACCGTAACATGTGGTGTAAAAGCTATAAAACTTACAGAATATTTCTGATTAATTCCACTTGACAGTCACTGCAGTTTCTAACATTTTTGCTTTATAATTGTTTATATACATATAAGAAATATATTTGATTCACAATAAAAATATCCATTTTTAACAAAAAATGTTCAGTTTTATAGAGTACACCAAGCCATGTCTCCAAGTCCTAGTGTCTGCTTTTGCTGCAATGATGTTGTTTCTACCATATTAATGATTATAATATTTAACATAGAATAGAATAGAATATTATCAATATAAGGGAGAGAGAGACTGGTTTATTTGTACCATACAAATTATGGTTAAGTATACACGAAAACCTGTAAGCAGCCATATTAAAAAGATAAGTAAAAACGTTCAGTTTTATAGAGTAGACTAAAAGTTGATATCTCCTAGTCCTAGTGTCTGCTTTTGCTGCAATGATGTTGTTTCTACCATATTAATGATTATAATATTTAACATAGAATAGAATATTGATATAATAGATTACGGTATATATTGTATTTATCGTATTCGTCTTCACACAATCCTCTCTCATTATAGTACTACATGTAGTGTGGGTAACTTCTGGGTCCTAATTATAAGTCTGCCTTTAAAATTAAGTAACACATTTCCTTGACCCCATGTTATCTTTTTGTGGCCCTTTTAAAAACTTTTTCTGTCTCTACTATCAATGTCTATATAAAGAAAAGGTCCCATTCCACTCTATTGCAGAGCATAGGGTGGTGCCCATCTCCATTTCTATAGCCCTTGGGCCACACACAGTTGTGCAAGGCACTATAGCAGGGGGCTGGTCCGCTGGTAGTGCTGTGTGTTTGACCTTCCCACACTCTTTCTCATATGTGCTGAGTGCTAAGCAGAGAAAGTAGTGTGTACCATTTTTAAAGTCTTTGGTATGACCCGGCCGGGGTTTGAACTCACGACCTCATGGTTACAAAGTGGGCACTCTACCAATTGAGCTACACATGTATTGTCTATATGTCTATATGTCGTGTGGTGATTGTATTCAGTTTGAGCATACTAGTATTACATTTTGTTGTATATCTTTGCACACAAGCACTTAAACCTTTACATCCACAATTTGTCCACACTTTATCCACCCAGAAGTCCTCCTTATCAAAGCTGTGAACTGGTTTGCTTTTCTGGCCAGAACTTGGTTTAACTTATTATTATTATTATTATTATATTTCTAGGGAGAGAGGATGGGAGCCCCGGTATACAAACAGAATGGCACCCAGGCCACAGGACTCCTACTCAGGGCCAAACATTGTTTTTAAAGAGTGATTCCTCAAAGCAACTGCTGTTTGTTTCATACATCGATTGTTCAATCAGTTATCAAGTAATGTCTAATTGTGTCGTAAACCAGGAGGCATCAGGGCTGTGTACAGTAAGCGAGATGGTTCCTCATAACCGTCATTAAAGCTGCCGAGATGCTGAATTTGCCCTGAGCCTGGCTGTGATGTTTGTGATGGACTAAGGACATCATCATCTTCATCTGTCCGTGTGTCACGACCACCGATTGCACCAGCTGCATCTGCTGATTGAATCTGGTGAGGGCTGTCAGCACCAGGGGCAGCCGCTGTCTGTGATTGGTTATTAACTGACTCTTCATCATTTTCATAGCCATACAACACATCCTGCGGACCAGCTGCAGCATCTTTAGCAGCTGTTGGCACGTGGCTGTTCTCATATTTGTGGGACTGTGGACCTTCTCCAGGGTACAGGGAGGGAGATGGAACCTCATAACCATCGTTAAAGCTGCCGAGATGCTGAATTTGCCCTGAGCCTGGCTGTGATGTTTGTGATGGACTAACCATTGCTCGAGCAGCTGCATCTGGTTCAATCTGGGCAGCAGTCTGATTTCTAGGGGGAAGCGAAGGGGGCAAAACCAAGTAACCAAAGCTGTCAAGACTCTGCGTGTTGCCTGCACCTCTGTGTGGACTTTCTGACTGATTGACTTCATCTATGGTGTCATACTCTGCTGTGTCAGGGTCCTCATCTGTTGGGAGGTTATAGATAAGCTGACTTTCTTCTGTATCAGGATGGGATGTTTCAGACTGACTGATTATTCCTGCACTTTGTGCCAACTGCCTGCAACATTATCTGGTCATGACCGCTGGATGTGCCTGTGGGGTTTGTGTTGCTAAAGCCTTGCTGGGGAGTAGGATCCCTTTGCCTCCTCTTATACATGCACCCTACTGCAAAGGCAATAGTGTAGATAAGGAGGAGTCCAAGAACAGCCCCCAAGGTAGCAAGGAAGGGCACAGACAGGACAATGCCACCATCAGCAGGGCCTATATTGCTTTCAGTGCTAGAAGTGGAGTAGACTGGTGTTTTCTCCTCACAGATCAAGTACTCAGGATTTACATCCCGCAAGAGTTGCCATCTAAGGTTAGCAGGTCCGGCACATGTGATCTGGCTTTCAAATCGGTAAGACCCGTTCATCCTCTGCCTAAAGGGAACCATCCTACAGTCACACTGCCAGGGGTTGAAGTAAATGACTACCTCAGAAATGGAAGCCAGTATGTCATATGCCATGAGGGGTAGTGTCTCTAATTGGTTATTATCTAAGCTAAATGTAAGCTCTGACAGTGCTGAAATCTGTAAATTTGATAAGGCCTCTACAGGGAAATTGCTGATGTTATTACCAGAAAGTCTCAGTGTTTGAAGCTGAAGTAGGTTCCCAAATGTGTCAGCTGTGATGGTGCTGATGCTGTTGTACCCAAGTTCTAGATAATTTAGCTTTGTTGTGTCATTGAAGGTGCCTGCCTCGATACTGTGGATGTTATTACTGTAAAGGTGAAGCTTCTCTAAGTTACCAAGTCCCACAAATATGCCAGCTGGCAGACTTATTAACTGGTTATTGTAAAGATACAAGAACCGCAGATTTCCAAGTCCCTCAAATATGTCAGCTGGCAGACTTGTTAACTGGTTATTGTCAAGATACAAGAACCGCAGATTTCCAAGTCCCTCAAATATGTCAGCTGGCAGACTTGTTAACTGGTTATTGTGAAGATTCAATCTCTGCAGATTACCAAGTCCCTCAAATATGTCAGCTGGCAGAGTGGTTAAACGATTGTAAAAAAGGAACAGTTCAGTCAGGCTGGTTAAGTTGTGGAATGTTTTGTTATGGATCATGGAGATCCGATTGTAATCAAGATGTAATCTTGACAAGCTCCTGTACCTTGAGAAATCAGACTGATTTAAGGTTGTGATGACATTGTAACGCAAGTTAAGCACAGTGATGTCTGTAGGCAGGTCCTGAGGAACACCGCTGAGGCCTCTGCTCCTGCAGACACACTGTGTACAACTGCTGTAACAGTCAGACCATGAACAGCTGCTGCTGCAGGCTGCGGTCGGGCCAGCTTCCTTCAGGATGATCAGCAGAAGAACCAGCATCCTCCTGGCTTTGTTGGACATTATAACTGAACAGAGAGGAGATACATTAATATTAGAATGACAGTTCAGCTGTGTTAGCAGCTTTAGAAAAAGTCAACATCCCAATTGGATCAGTACATTACTGGTCAACCAGGCCCAAAAATTCAAAACACTCCACTGATTTTCAGATGTACACTGCTGCACACACATAAGAATAATTCTTTTTAACCCCTTAGTCCACAGCAAGTAATTTTTATTTTTTAATTCTGTTTTCTTAATTATTTAATATTTATTTAATGGATGACATCAGCGCGCCCATTGATTTTCCCTTGATTCTGGAAAAAATTAATAATTGCCCAAAGGTACACTTACCTGCCGGGTAATTGTGGTTGTCCCTTACAGGTCCACGAGTGCTATCACTGGCCAAATACCTGATTAATGTGCAGTTTTCCTTAATTTGCATATACTACGCCAAGAGTCAAAGTTCAAAGGTTACCCCTATCCCATAATGCCCTAGTCCTCATTCTTTTTCTTTGGCGCAGCAGGAGGTGCTGGACGCCAATAGGGCAGGGAAGTAGTG